CAAAGACCACAAATTCTTCAAAGCTCGGCTCCTTCCCATGCATCATGATCTTATCGGCGACTTCCACCCACTTATTCTGCAATTCTAGTGGTAGGCATGAAACTATTATCTCCAAATTAGCCGCAGGATTGACGTCCGACATGTATCCCATTTCCTTCAACTTTATACATACATTACGTAGCTTAATCGCGAAGTCTGTTAATACGTCAGCTGATCGTCCGACAGATTTATGGTTTAATAACTCAGTAATTAGTTCTCGTGCAACAAGATGCTCTTTACCAAATAAATCGGCGAGACTCTAATTTTGCGACGACCTTTGAACGAATCTTAAATGACCTTGACAATTATTAGCCAATCAGGAGACAGAAAGTATAAAGTGAAAATATATTGTAAGTAATGAATTACAGTGGATATTCTTCTTTTACATGATTTAAAAACTTGTTAGGGTTTCATAAAGTTTCAAAGGTTCTGAATTCATAATGCATATGGTACAGAAACTCGTATATAGGATTAGGGTTTAGGTTAAGGTTGGGGTTGTAGCTTCTCAATAAACACCTCTTCTCTAAATTCCGATGTAAACCGATAGCATGTTAGCACCCTAACCCTAAACTTAACCCTATACCCTAACCTTAATCCTAACCCTAGCCTCTAACCTTATGGACGAGTTTCTATGCCATATGCATTATGAATTCAGAACTTCTGAGCCTTTATCAAACCTTTAGAAGATTTTGAATCAGGTAAAAGAAGAATATCCACTGTAATTTATTACTTGTAATATATTTTTACTTTATATTGTCTTCTGATTGGCTAATAGTTGGAATTGCTCAAACGCTTCTGATTGGCTCGTCCCTAAATTAGAGTCGCGCCGTCCCTTCTGTTGTAATCTCTCATTAATCACCTTCTCTCTAAAATCCGCTGTGAACCGATCGTATGTTAGCATCGCGTGTTGAACTTGGCGTCCTTCAGTTCCCTAACCCAATCGACCTATGAGATGTTACATACGTTCCCTGAGTGATTATTACACCCAGTATCACAATCCAAATAATTTTGCACTTTAGCATTTATCCCACATTTATCTACAGATAATCGTTCATCGTCCTCGACGGCCTTGCATTCTATTTCGGCGATATCGACCTCTTCTTGAAGTTCTGACATCTTAAGTTGCCGTTCCAATTCAAGTCACTTTTCTAAATTCATTTCTCTCAGTAAAGCTTCATCTAACTTTAATCTAAAAGTACTTAGCTGGCTAGAGGACATACTATTAATACTAACATCATCAAAGTTACCGTCATTTACATCAGACATTCCACAAACAGCTTTAGAGATTTTACCATCCATTTCGTCATTTTCCTTCAGCCTTTTGCTCCGCGTTTCCATCGTACTGCATGTTCCAAACAAATCGATTACCAAAACAATTCTGAGTTAATCCGAACGAAATCGACCAAAATGACCAGGAAATTGAACTCAAAATATCCAGACAATCCAAGGTATGAACACAGAACCAATAATTAAAGAACTTTATGTTACGTCCAAGTTTTGCTCGTTCTAGTTATTGAAGTACGGACTATCGATCTACTTGCAAATTACGAACCCAAATGAACAACAGAACCAAGCTCCAATTTACATACCAAATTTATTCGCAATTCAAAAATAATCGACCAAATGTCGTTCTAACAACAATAACTATAACAATTACAAAACAAACCTTCAATTTTGTAGGTTCCCGGAGCAAAACTCCCAAATACCAAACCAAAGACAAGAGAGCACCAAAATACAAAACCAAAATGTGTCTGTAGTGGTAAATAAATCTCCAAAATAAATAGCTCTGTAAGTTTTCGACATTGGATGCTGACCATATGTTTTAGTGGACTCATCTAGCTGAAGGCGCTCGGTCATGCATCCGCACCAGAGCACGTGTCGTAACGCTGTGCTCAACATTTATCGCAATCGCTAGCCATATTAGATCAGAGAATCCCGATATATTGGTTATCGCCAAATACACTCTTCTGATCTCCTCGTTTCTGTCTTTTGATTTCTCTCGGTGGGTACAATTTGTATTAGAAGGTGCTGCTGGTAAAAGCGTTGTCAAACACTGAATACCTGCATCATCCTCATGTCCTATCTTACCACATCTAAAACATTTAGCATTACGAAATGCACATAAATTACGAGAATGAAACTTTCCACATGATAAACATTTACCGAACTTCATCTCACCTTTGTAATTTGCTTTGTAATTCCTTGTTGAAACACCTTTCATATTTACACAAGAATAGGAATCACTGTTAAACGAACGCAAGTTTGACTGACCCTGAGATTGTATTTCATCATGACGACTAAGCAAAGTACTAGAAATCTTCATCGACTGGATATCAAGTTCATTCACTTCCTCGTAGTTAATACATGCAGCTCTGGCATCTTGAAAGGAACAGTTCGACGTTCTTAACAGATCTCTTACCAAACCCGGTATGTTAATTCCTACAATTAATCGATCTCTCAGTTGCACATGAAGTTCATCACCAAAATTACATTTGGCAGCATGTTTCTGCAATTCAAGGATGAGTTACATAAACTTTTGGTCATTTCGACGAAACATCTTATGAAATTTCGCTCTTTCATGGCATTCAAAACCGGTGCACTTTACATGATTTAATAATAGCTCTTTAAGGGTTGTATAAGGAAGTGAGATAGGTTTTTCTGGATATGACAAAGTTTTTAATAAGCTGTGCGCTTCTCTCCCCATGAATGTTAGGAAATGTGCCACAATTTTATCACCTTTAACATCTTTCTTAGTCATGCTCCAAATTTCAAACCTTTACAAATAATCCTCAAAAGCTTCAGAAGTTGATTGGATATCTAACTTTTCCATCGCAGGCTCCATCGCGACGCCAGTATAATGTTTGAAAATATTTGAATTGTAGTGTGAACTAAGAATCCCAGAAATAACGTAATTGGATCAAGAAGTACTAGATAAGCACAAACGAATGTATTGTATTTGGAATTCAAAATCAAGCATTCAACAAGTACAAAGGTATCATAAGTTCGTTCAAACATCACAGATTTATCTCCATCTTATGTCCTATCGCTGACGTAATTTCCTTAAGATAACCTTAATGAACAGTTATCTACCCAATCATAATTAGCCAACTCAATCCACCAAGTGAAAATCTCTGTATCCTAGCACCAAAATGACTGAAATAACAGCTTTTGTGTGCAATGTAACAACACTGCACAGGCGCTAAGTTAGAATTAAATAAAATGAGTCACAATGCAAAGGAATGAAGTCTAGAATCTTTGATAAGTACGGTGATAATGAGTAATATTCTACAAGTTTTCGTCGTCAATGTTAGGCTTGAAAGTTTCGAATGAATTCAGCATGTGATAAAAAGTTAATTATAAACATATTTTGGCGACATCCAAATGAGTAGGAAACTATATTTTTGACATTTCGTGATGTAACGTAAACCAATACCTCAGAAATATAATTTTCTGCTCATTGAGATATAAATATATATTGGTAACATGTTAATGAAGGTCCACCTATAGACACTGAAAACCGGCGAGAATTTCCTGATATGATGGTAAAAAGAATGCTTGAGGATGAACATCTTCATATTTTTAGGTATATTGGACAACAAGGATTAGTGATACTGACGCGGTCAATGTTATTCAAGAAATATAAAATCTCCCGTTTAGCAACATTTAAGAAACTCTTGTATAGTAAAACCATTTTTTATACGACAACACTTTTAAAACAAGATGTACAGAAACGTCTTCATTTAAAACAAAATGCACTCATTTATATGCTGATTTTTATGCACACTTAATAATATCATAAAATGAAAAAGACAGTTACTGAAGAACGTACTGAACATAGTTCATGTGAACTGTCACTGGGAATATGAATGTCACACTGAACTAAAGTTCACACCGGTTATGTTGAACAAATTTTATGATAAACTTATATGAAAAATATTGACCCGCAGTAATGTAACCATTTTATCTTGTCTCATCAGTCTGTCAATTCAGCGTATTTCTCCATTCTGTTTAAAGTTTCAATTGCTCTGTTACTCTATCGCAGTTTTATTGTATGACAGACGGTGTCTGAAGTGTGATATTAAGACACAATATGCTACACGCTACTCCCCCCCACCTGACTACTTGGGTGAGAACACAAGAGTAGACGAAAACGTTTATTGGGTTACCGAACAATATGCACAAACGCTCGTTTATATATATTTACCTCTTATAAAATCAACCCATTTCTTTGTCAACAATATGCATTTGTCCTTTAAGCCATTTCCGATTGTCGTCGAATGACCTCGTTTGGCAATTTTTGACTGGTCCACTATATTCCTCAACTCATTAGGTAGTTCTATCATTTTGAAAATATCTTTATTTTCTGGTATCCGACAGACTTATAGAATCACCTTCCTCTAGAATTTTCTGACGGTTATCCTGCAAATACCCTCAGTTAAGAGAGTATGAGTATAACCTCATCATATTCCACGAATTATTTCCTAGTGAGATATTGTCGAAATTTTGCAACACACTATTGTTTAATAGAATAAAATTTAGCACAATTCAGAAATAAATCCTAATTTTGCCATAACCGTTAAAGGGAGAAATGCTAAGGAAAAATATGAAAAGGTACATATATTTAAGAAGAAATGGTTTTTTTAAATATTACTCATAATAAATAATAGTAGTTCCCAGTTCGTTTAGATTTTCTCCTCCTGCAATTCCACACGCTGACCAATACCATAATGACAATGACAAAAGCCCTCATTAACGAAACAAACAGCACTAGTTGAATTGGGTATTGGATGAAATCCATTTTTAGCAGTTAGTAATTTACTTAAATCATTTATAACTACAACAGATACGACAGATCCATCCTTTTTATCACGTAGCTTCACAGAGATCGAACCTTCAAATATTGTCTCAACTTGAAATTTACCGTAGTATTCATCCTCCGTAATAATTAACTCAGCACGTGTTTTATATCCTGGAGGGACAACTATCTGCGGATGTTGTAAACAAATATTGACGAATAAAACAAATTAGTGGAAAATGCAAACTAACAAATGAACTGAGTGAGAATATCAAACTTGATTATATGATTAAATCAGATAAATTACTCAACAACCATAAATTCTATTACAGAAGACATATGTCAAACAGTATATAAATCAAGTCCTCTGTCATTTTCCACGTCCGATATTTTTAACCAATAGTGTTTATCAATTTTGAAGACGGATATATAGTATTTCAACTCATTTTTTTTAATTTCAACAGGGTTTTTTAAAATAACCAAGAATGTTTTTAAAATTTTGTCTGCATTTTTTGAAATAACCACATCTTTTTTTAAAATTTTCTCATAATCCTTACATGCTAGAGATGAATAGAAAAAACAATTTAATTTCAAATGAGAAGAGACAATGCCTCATAAGAAAGTTATTAAAGACAAATACAGGTTCGAAGATGTGTAGGCGTGAATTATCAGGCCTCTGCAAATGTTATAAAAACTTTAAAAAACGCTGTGGTTATTTTGAAAAACGCGGACAAAATTTTTAAAAAAATTTGGTTATTTTAAAAAACTTTATCGAAATTTTAAAAAACGATTTGAAATACTATATATAGAGAAGCTATAAATATGCATTAATAGATGAGTCACTAACACGAAGGAGAAGGTTCATGTTAATTGTAGCTGCTACCATGACATGGAAGTCGGGTATAACTTATGAAAACGTACTCGATATATACTGGTTCGGAAACGTTTGCTATTAGTTCCTACCTTGGCAGGCACATTGGTTGCAGAGTCTATATTTAATTTGAACTGAAGGAGAGGGGAAATATTAGATAGGTTGACCTCGGAATTCTTTAGGGGCGGTAGTCTAGTCACAACAATGAAGGCTATTGAGATACTGATGAGTATTGGAATTGAAAGTAATCTCATCTAACTAGTCTCAATCGCTTATCGCCCAACCGGTAAGAAAGGATCGAAATTACCTTGTGATGATCATAGAGAAATTAGTCTGAATATCATAATACTAAAATATTAGCCTTTGTAGTCACTGAACACCTACATGATACTTATTTGCACAATCTGTTGACCACCTGTTATCTAAGATTGGTTTTTCGATTTTTTACGTAAACGTAACTGAATTGAAATCAAATATTATTACACTGCTGATCTTACCCTCCAGTGAATTCAGTACTTTAACCTCCCGCAAACGTGGTAATTTTGCATCCTACAAGCTGGACATTGGTATCCCCTCTCAAATTTAACTGCAGTCTGAGAACTTATTCATTATCTAAATATATGGAAGCATTCTGAATGTACTCAATAATTAGTGTTGCTACTGAGTTGTTAAACCCATTTTTCTTAAAGAAATCGAGTACACGTACATTATCTTGTGACTCTTCACTGTCACAAACGCCAACAAGGACTCTGAGTAAAGATGTGAATAAACAAACTGAAGGTGCTCAGCCTCTTTCATTTATCTTTTACGCTAAATATATACTACTCTTCATACGAAAACATATTTAATGATTCATTCAGCCCATTTACTTAGTATTTCTATATATCCGTTACTTTATTTATGACAAATTCACAACCTTTAAATCTGTTTTTGCTATGGAGTTCAGACAGCCACTGATTTCATACTGTAAAACATTTCCTTTGAACCTTAATGCCCTCAATTACATAAACAGTTTTAAGTTTTCAAATCAAGTTTGTCCAAATTGCTCATTTTGATATTACCTGGAAATCATATTTTTCCAGACAGAATAAATTGTAGTTATTGCTATTACTATCTGGCAACTTGCATCAACCCAATCAAGTCTGTAAAATTATTTGTTTTGTACTAATTTACCGGATTTATTGTTGTTGGTGGCGGTCAAATGAAGTTAGAGAACAGTCAATCTGAATGCACTGCACAGAGATTCACTCTTTACTAACCTATGGCTTCGAAACATGATTTTTGAAAGTAGAAAAAATGTGTGAACCACAGGATTTTTATCATAACTGTCTTGGAAACGATGCTCGTATATAATTTGATGACAAAGTAGGGAGTGTTGAGGTTAAACATAAGGTAATGATGACAAATCGGTTAATTAAATTGTAAACAAATCTTCATAGACTGAGGTGGCTACGTAACGTATGCCCAAGTACTGCCTACCTTGATCTACGATGTTGCCTGACGTTGATCATGACTGATCAGTCTGTCAATCAACGAAATCTTTGTATCTACTAAGGCTAACATTATTGTTGAGTTTTAGAAGTGAACTATAGTATTTAAGATTCTTGAATTCGTTAAAATTATTTATTCAGTTTAATCATTTGGTATCGTTATTAAATACTTATTTCTGTTTCTCACCTAATATTTCGAGATAGGAATTATTGACTTTTCAATTAGGTCTAACCAATCGTCTATTACTTGCAGGTATTAAATAGTCCCTCAGTCTTTTTGAAATTATTTATAACTCTCCTGACTACTAGTTGAAGTTGGTTTGCTTTGATCATATAATGACATCGCTTAAAAAGGGTGTTTCATTTAAGTTTGTAACTCCGCAGAAGTGGGCACGAAACACTCTATAAGAGAACAAACCCAATAGCTTCGAATTTCGAGGGGAAAAATTATTTATTAAGTTCACTGATTAGAAATTTCATTACCAATACTCTCAACTTCAACTAGTTTGTATCCTCGTGTAGTTCTTTGTTTTTTTTAATCAATTGAATCAGTCAGATAACTTTATTTACAAGTGTTGATTAAATATTCATAACAGAACGTCTTCTTAGTTACTCAATTTCTCACCACTAAACAGTTCTTAGTTAAAGGTCATTCTGACCATAAGTTGGGTTCAGCTAGATAACCTTACTAACTACTGAGTACTGGATAGTTGTTTTGTTCTTATATGGGACTTGGCTGTATGCACCCACGAACTCCCCAGACATAGAACACAAAACCCTCAGCTTTCGAGTCAAATGAATAACTTTTAAGCTAATTAGTTTGCACCCAATGATTTAGAGTTCCTCATTTGGATAATTTATATAAATAAAAGTTTAAAATACAAAATAATTGCCCGGAAATTAAAGAAAAAATTTCTGAAAGCACGTTTCTGAGGTACATATATGAATGAACTTTAATTTAATACTTTTTGTAACAGTTGATCAAATGTAACATTTTTCGGTGTGCTATTCAATCAAATCTCTCTCCAAAGATAAATCATTCCGAGTACTTTATACGCATTTTGTCACAAGCACTATCTATCTACTTGAAGTCACTAGTGAAGAAACAAAAATGAAATTAGGAATATTGTATATCAAATGGGCCAGAAAAATAAACAAATCAGGAGAAACTTTGAAGTATTTTAGTCAGTTACAGAGTGTTTCACCACTTAATCCCCAAGCTAATAAATAAAGAGTGCATTTTTCAAGTCTTCATATAAATGTTCAAGGGTGTGCAAAACAAAGCTACTAAAAGTTCTCCATGACACCCGAAAATCGTTCACTTTGTTTTACATCTTTAAGTATTTTTGCAGAAATGAAACGTTGATGTACTAGATTATTCTTGCTTTACATTAGATGTATTCAAAAAAAATAAACTGATCAGAACTCTTCAATTCAGTTCGTTGACCTGGTTTATCTAATTTTATCAAGACCAGATAAATAAAGGTGGACAAGAATGTAAAATACCAGTAGAGAAATTGCTAATAAACATGAGGTATTAAGAATGTTTTAACAAAAATAATTAATGTAAATGGACCGACGCTGCAACGATAATTTTTTTCAGATAAACCAAGTAGAACATTTAATTTCCAACTTCATAAATATTTTAGATGTCAGTGATGTAGTTTATATTCGTCTTATGTCACACTTATTTTCAATGTTTTTACAAAGTAGGGCTATATGTTTGCACATATTTGTTTGGATTCCCTGAAATTTCTGTCTGCTGTACTTTTGCTTTGTCATTACTGTCTTTTACTACAGTGAAATACGGAGTATTAGAGTCTATATAAACATATGGACGCTTTTTGAACATTTTCTTAATGCGGATCGTTCTGTGGAAATACTTTGAGTAGTTATCGCCAAATTTAATAACCAGTAAATTGCTCTCGAGTTTGGGATGAAAAATGAAAAGTGAACAGTGAACACACCGGTCAACTTATGCATCTATTGTGTTGGTGTAACTAACAATGAAACAGTTACGCCCATCTACTTGAAACTAAGACCTAATTATCAGACCTAAATCTTGTTTATCCTATTAAAAGTTCAAGAAGAGGTATTTCATAGTAGTATAGAATTTATACTCATATCAAAACTAATTATGGCTTTATATACTAAAAAGCATTTAAAATATTTACCACATAGTCATTCATGCCTGTCCAAAAATGTGTTGTCTAGTATTTTGTCTAATTTAGCCTAGCCTGTCGCTTTTTTGGAATTATACCACACACTTAAGAGAATGTATTGGTCCACAATTCATAAAAAGTGCTTTTAATTTGACTCGAACCAAATAACTTGAAACACTAAGTGGCTTAGAGGTTCATTATTTAAGGTTAAGTATTCTGAGTACAGCTTTCAATTATATCACTAACGAAGAGTAATAACGTCTTTCGTCGTCTACACTAAAGCGCTGTTCACTTTTGAGAAAGATTTTCACAGTGCGTGTTTTTATCTACAGTTTTGCAGTTGAACATTTTTTTCTCATCAGGTAGCTTGCACTATCAAATCATTTTACTTGAAAGTCACATGGGAGAAATCTCAGGGTAATTATATATATATATATATATATATATATATATATATATATATATATATATATATATATATATATATATATATATACCGCCTTTACATTTTATCATATACGTTCCTAACAGTTGTGTAATAGTATTTCGTTGTATTATACATTCAAAAAAGTTAACTATTACTAATCAATTAGTTAATCCATGAAATTGTTTTCGACAGTTGTAAACATTGAGATCGATTATAATTTATTGATTTCCATGAACATTTTCATAAGGTTGTGACATTTATAGTTTTAACCATGAACTGATCTTGATTGGACTACTATTGAAAACCTGAAAGCGCTGGACACCATTTAAATATTAGTAATGGGCATCTCAACAATGTGCATCGATGACTTCACATCTGGGAATCGGACTTAAAACCTTCGATCTCCGTAATTCTCATCTATTGTTTGTGGTGGATAATTTTCTCACACTATATAGTTGGACTCCACTGATCTCGGCTTTGCGGTAGAACTCCAGGAATTACATTATGAAACTAGTCACCAGTGAACACACGATCGTCATTAGTATAAGGTTACGGAATATCGTGAACTGGTTGAAGTTAGACATCAAAACCGCAAATGTTTTTGCGAGCGCTTAACCATTGGGTCACAGAGCCGGCATCCAACGTCCCAAATTAAGATGAAATATGTGTTGAGCTCTTCAGGTCTACATTTATTTTCCAGTCTAATCGGACGTACTTTCAACTTCAATAAAATTCCAAAACCTTACAATCAAATATGATCGTTTACGTATTACTGACCAACCGATATCATATGATGGTTGGTCTCTATCATAAATTGGTCAAAGTTAAGAAGGTTGATGGTCAGATTCTAACTCAACAATCTTATGGAATCGTGTTCACCGCGAGATCTGAATATGTTAAATTCTAACGTAGGATCATTCAGAAACGCTGATGGAGACGGTGCTGTCAAGTTCTGAGTGACTTACCAACTGGTGATTTTCCGCTGATGAACTTGATGATAGTTATTTTAATGAAGGGGTAGTCGTAATGTTGGTGCAAAAGTTCTTTAGAAATTAGATTCACTAAATCCATATAATTTGAGCTTTGGACGCAACATGTAGCGATAAGAATGAAGTAATACCTATACAGGTTAATAAAAAGGATATATTTGAAGTTCTAGAAATCACAACCATAATTAAATCCTAACGTAAGCTAAAGATAATCACCGCGAAACTGGTTGTATATTATTTGGGTTAAAATTAACTGGTAATAAATTTTCATGTCATAAGTTACAAGTGACGTTAGTGAAAATAACCCTCAACTTTCATTGTGAAAATACACATTAAAAAGCGACATAAAACGTATTATCACGAGGACTCGAAATACTGTATGACATCCGGGGGAAATAAACCACGATCCCATTTAGAGTAGCGGATATAGATACTGAAGGATTTCAAAGGAAAACAAAGTAGTTATCTCGTACTATCAGGTTTTTAGTGTTTCGTAAATTGATATCAATAAGGAATTAAAAAGATATTTAAATCTCGACAAACTAAATGATCAAATATTAAATTCGTGTTCAGGAGTGACTAACTTTAGAATAAATTCATAAACTTCAAGGGATTAGTAGCGGTACTTTTGATTTAACCATTTGAGAGTTGGATAACTACCTCAAGCTGAATTTGGTGGTCGTCAGGCCATATGATGAATTTGTCGAATATACACCGGCAATGGTTGATGTGTTCCGATAGAAAGTCTTTTTTTCTGATAAAAAAGCTTCTTCATTCACTTGGGTGAGGATATGTTTATGACTTTTGATTGTATCTTCGTTTTTATTGTTAGAATGTTTGACGTATCGTATATAGATGTTTATCGATTGAATACATTATCACAACAACAAATTGGATTAAACTACATGACTTGTTTTGTTCAATTTATAATGCCTCTTAAACGGACGTCAATCCTTTAAAGAATTGGAAACTAGCTTGGCGGTTTTAGGAATAGGCTTTAAACCAAAATGTAATAGGTCCGAAACTTGTTCCTCCCAGGGTAGTTGTCCCTAGTCCTCACACAAGTACATTTTATACTAAATCCGATAACATGGACAAACACACTTATTAAACGAATCGTATCTTTCCAATTTTCTGTTATACTGTAAATTAGCATCAGATTAATTGAATCAGAATAAATCGTCAACTTGGTTGCTTTTAAGTAATACATGGACATAGAAAATTTACCATATATCTAATATTGATCAAAAAAGTCACAGATCGCATGTTATGGCGACTGACCACGATCTTTAATATATATCGTATTAAGGTTAGTTAGTAAAAATATACTTACTTCTGTAGTACCAATTTTAAGCTAATATTTAATTTTTCTACTTGCACGAAGCTGAGAAATGTACGTTACATTTGTTGGACGGTGGGTGAAATCAACTTTAGACAAATATATGATCTTAGTTTTCAGCAAAATGTGTATAAGACAGAAATTTGATGACAATGAATTTAGAAACATTGGGTAATATCAAAATTTATAAATGTTTCCAGATGAAAATTTTCACATAATATGGTTCCATCTTTTGGTTCTAGGTAGTCTGCATAAATTATATATAATTTAGTTTATAACACACCTGCATAGATTTCATTTATCAGACAATCATCTGTATGTATGCCTAACCGTGTTTATCCCTACATTTATGTTTATTCTCGCGTAAAAATTTCCTTTATAGCAAATTATAGTATGAATAATTTTTTTAAGTTTCGAAGATGTTTTTCTTATCTCCACCTATTGTTAGAAGTCATTCTTGTATTTCACTTTTTAAGAGTAACATTACCACTGGATTCACTACAACAATTTTCAGACACGAGCGTCCTACCTCATTGTGTCCATTGGATGCGTGTACACGTTTATACTTGAACAAAAGTTAGATTCATTAAGTCCCACAAACTGTTAATTTTAATCAACTTAACGAATGAATTTGCGTGTCTGGCAAATTTAACAAGCAAGTGACTTAATTTTTGTCATTCATCATCATTATTAGTATAAAATCGATTAAGAAAGACATAAATAGAAGAAGAGAAAATGTAACAGACGCAAGCGAAACATGTTCCATACACTCCCCTATCAAATCACCTAAAACATATAATGTTGCAATAGGAAAAGTGTAGTACCGTCGATAGTTTTCGTAGTATTACTAAAAGCAATAATAACAAAGACGATTGGCAAGTTGATACTGTCTAGTTTCTAGTTGAAAACAAAGAACTCATTGTAAGGTAGATAGGAAGATAGTAACTAGGGGATGAGAGTGTTTGTGTGCGTGTCTGTAAGAAGCAGAACAAGAGACAGAGAAGGCAGAGAAAATTAGATAAAAACCAATGATGTAATAGGGGAGAAGAAGCGAAAAAATTATTTTATAATTAAAATTTTGAAGTAACGAGAACAATCAATAATTCTTTTCATCATCCATTATGGTAATAAATGATGAAGTGAATAGAATCATACTGATTACTTGTTCTTGCACACCCTTTCCATTGTATCTCATTTGTATTAATTTCATATTATACAAGCGAATAATTATGAGAGGATGAAACAATTCTATTGAGAAGATATGTAATGATAATAATTGATCTCTTATAGAAAAGACTTAGAAATTAGTTTTGTATATCCCTACTTTTTGGAAATGAATATAATCAAGGTGTAGATGAAAGACATTGAACATATCCATTCAGCTCAGTTAATTCACTGCTACACTAATAAATATTAAGAATAGGTGAATGACAATTCACTAGAATCTCTATAGAGTTGAGACGTTTGTACAAATCTATCACAGGCTTCTACTTTATCAAAGAATAACAACTAAAATGTACTATTAGAAGGGAATTGTTATGAAAAACCACTAAATACGGAGATTTACATAATTTTAGTAACTGCAGTATTCATTTGATTCGACCGACAAAACAATAAAGTGATACATAATTTACAAAATAAAAAAGTAGTTTTTGCTCATTATTCATTAACACGAAGATGCTTTTTCTGTCTGAAATATGTTTATGGCAAACAGATATTGGTCAAAATACTCTCCAAAAGTAGCTAGAGTCAAAACTGAAGCTATTACTTATTAATAAGATAGGCTAACATATCCAAATTGATGAAAGATAAAAATATGGAGTACTTGTCCCGATTTAGTGATGAAACGATAGTGTTTTTTGCTTGATATGGAGGTTCATAGTTTCATCTTAAATAGGGTCTTGGAGATGATCTACTGATAAGGATGAAAATTTTATCATCAGCTCTTTGGCTCTACAGTCAGTTTGTCAGGAGAATTTTGTTGAGAAAAGAACAAACCTAATTTTTATGCACTGATAAACTGACATGATGATCAAGTTAACTTCCAATTCACTACAACGAAATTCTGTGGTTGACATCTCATACATTACAAGCAATCGTTCAATATGATTTAATTACTGTTATAAACGACTGTCCTTTCAGTTTTCAACAGTTCCTTTAACGAAAATGTGAACAGAACTAATTAATAGAATTGCACGAAATCAAGAAGCACAGGATAAAGTCAGTTAGAACTAAATATATAGTCTGGAAAGTATACGTTTAAGATTTTTCCAAGATAGTTTTCATGGAATGAAAATGTTTATCTAAATGTTTTATCTGAGGGTTATTGTTTTGTCTTCAATAGAATGAGCGAACTTTGAAGAGTATAGACCTGCCTTGATTGTGATTGGATGATTGAGTTTAGACCAAAAGTGCATGAAGTCAGTGGACAATTTTGTAAAGGGAATTGTAAATCTTCCCAATAAACAATAAAGTGGTTTAAATATGTGACAGTTATAACACTAATATAATCATTTATCTGAGTTTTGGCATGTCTTCATTTTCTTACAAAATTGTAGCAGTAAATAAATCCCCCAAATCAACAGCTCTGTAAACCTTTGACGTTTGATGCTGACCGCATTAGGTTTAATGGACTCACCTATCTGAAGGCGCTTAGTCACGCATCCGCACCAGATCACGAGTGGGTACAACGTGCTTCAGATCTCTTACAACCGTTAGTCAGCTTAAATTTATCACTTCTCGATATATCCTTAGCCTACCAAATATATTTTTGAACCTCTTCACTTTTGACTTTTGATTTGACTGGGTTGACATATTTCGATTATAAAAGGTGTTATTAGTTAAGGCGCTGTCAAACTCCGAATACTTATGGCATCTTTAAAGTTAAAAAGATCAGCGCTTAACAGTTTAGACAGTATGAGCACCAGCCAATAATATGGATGAACATTTTTACATTAACATTTTTCTAAATTGAGTCAATTTATTTTTAAAGTTACACAACTCATAACTTAGTAATTTTTCTATTTGATTCCAGATTATCATGTTTTTAACAGTCATAATTATAATTACATATTTTACAATATCATATCATATTTATTACTTAATTCGTGATTACGTGATATCTTATGCAAACAATAAACTTATGAATAAAACTTTATTTGTTCACAATGACAATGAATTTCGAATGACCTTTGAACTCAAGATATATAATTATTTCTACTGCTTTCAAATGGTTAATTTTGTAAAATTAACTACAACAGAAATTATTTACATACATTCCATTTAACATTTACAGGATTAACTTGAACAGACTGGCTCATCTACTGAACAAAATTAAAACTCTTTTAGATTTTAGTATGATGGTACTGATAGATCCCTTAAAAGCTGTAAAATACTATCCCACTTGCGCAAAAGTCTATGAAGAAGATAGAAGGAAAACAGATGGCTTTGAAGAAGAAAAGTATGGAGAAAATTATGAGAGATTAAGACCATGGTAGAAGAAGAGGTTGTAGACATAATTATGGTTTTTCCAGATGTATGGCTAGCGCTTTGGCAATGCTAAGAAGATGGAAGATAAATGCCTTTCTCAGCCTTTTACTTACCTTGTAGATGACTTTGAATGCAGAGCCTACTTTGATTTAATGACCTGTATTCACAAGACGTTATATTATTTGGCTTCTTATTGAGATATTTTCGCCTCTTTTCAGCCAAGCAGGATAATTTTCTTGAATTCTTTCGGATAGAGTGCGCATCGAATGACTTATATACCTGATTTCATATGAACAGTTAAAC